GCCAGGTGCTACCCCCGCCTCCCGCGGCCCGCACGGCGCCCCTGCTGCCCCTTCCCGGACGGGCGCGAGCCGGGCTCCGCCCCGTTGCTGCTAACGCCGCAGGTGGCGAGCCTGGCTGCGGCGCCGCTTGCACCTATCCACCTGGGTAACCAAATTCTACAGTAGAGACATATCGAGGTAGTACAGAGAAGTATTCTGTTTGGCATTATTTTCCTCACTTGAAACCATACGGGGTTGCTTTTCTTTTAGCTTGTTGTCAGGTCCTCGTGCGTCAGTTCGAACGGTCTCACCCCACGTGCTGTGCTTTCCTGGAGGTGGAGGCCCGGGGCGGGGTGCGGGAGGGCGGACCGCCTGCCGCGCGAGGTGGGTGCCGAGTGCCGGGTGGAGAGCTGTAGTTTCTCTTTCCAGACCACAAGCCAAATGGCTTTGACCAATTTTTCTACTGTGTCACACCTATTCTTTCTAGGTGGAAAAAGGAAAACCCTACCTATAGAAGCAGAGCTTAGGTCCGAGCGGTCCCACGGAACGTGTCCCCCGCTGACATTCCCTGAGTGCCAGCTGCCTTACCTGCTGCTGCTGAGGGGGACAGGGCCGGCCCACGCGGACACGCGGGGACATGGTGCTGCCCTAGAGGGCCGGTGCCACCGGAGAGGAGTGCAGGGTTTTGATTTTTCCAAGAAAGTCAGCCTCTATTTCTCCCCGTTCCAGGAGGACCCCTGCTGGCCTGGTGTGGGGTTTGCCGCACCTGTCCCGGGGGGAGGCTGTGAGCTCCTCAGGGCGAGTCCTTCAGAGGACGAGGCCAGCAGCCCCCGAGCCGCCCGCTCTCCTGCGGTGGCGGCAGCGCTGGGCACCCCTCTCAGTGGAGCAGTGCAGCTCCGCCCCCGCCACGGGGGCTCTGGGCTGAGCCTCTCCGGCCTTCCCGGCCCCCTCCGAGGGCTCTCTGAACTTTGTACCTTTCCTCCCGCTTTTTAAACACCTTTTCTAAACAGACTTACTTTCTTATAAAATGCATTTGGAAACCAGACCTTTGCTACCGGTGTCTCTGGATTTTGTACCAATCCCCAGCGTCTCAGGCGTCGGCCAGGCCCGGCCGCTCCCCCGGGCACCTCCGCCTCTGCACTCAGGATGTCTTGCTCTCCCAGCCCCTTCTGCACCACCTCTGCTGGCCTTTCTGGGGCTTCCCCGCCTTGCCTCGGAGGCACCGCCTCGAAACCAGCGCTGTGCTGGCGCCCGAGGGCCCCGATCCCGGCCCCCACCTCCCTTAAGTGTGCTGTGTGGCAGTCTGTCTGTTCCCATGTTTGCGAACGGAAGAGTGGAATCTCCAAGACCCGGATGAGCACATCCACCTGAGGAGGCACGGAGGGAGACGTAGGTGATGGAGGTTGTTTTTTGTTTTTTTTTTTACGTCTTTTTTTTAATCAATGTTCAAACTAATAAATATTTTTTTATGAAGAGGAAGAATTGTGATTCTATGTAGATTACATTTCACATTTTGTATTTTTTTGTCTGTATCTGTATTTTGGTGTTTGCAACACCAAAGTGGAAAATACACTCATGGGGGTGTCACTGAGGGGCAGGGAAACCATGTGGTTTTCGTACTGTGCTCTGGACCCTGACCAGGTTGTGCATTTGGACTCTGGGTTTTGGGAAACAGGACACTGCCAGGACCCCAGAGGGGCCTGACTCAAAAAGACACAGCTATGCTTCCAACTTTGCACATCTTCCTTTTTAGAAAACTGAGAAAATGCAAAAACTGGAACTTTTTGCAATATTATGAAAGATAATCTTACTTTGGCTCATTTTGTGACATGTGCAACTCTTAAGAAAGCCATACTTAATGGTGGTTGTCTTTTATTTTCAGATCTTCTGTTGTGTTTTGTATGCAGCCCTTTTAGAACCACTTGTAGTGAGGGTGCTGTGTGTGGGCTTTTCTTAAATATTTATTTTTTCAACATGCTTTCAACCTGTCAACAAAAACAGAATTGACAAAAAAGGGCAGTGTTTGAAGATTGTTGATCTTTTCTGAGGATAATCTATATACTGACTTTATATTAATTATTATAAACCTGTGTTTGTATTGAAGATGTGTTAATATTTGGGGAGGAGGTTTTTGTAATCAGTCAGTGGGAAATCGCGGCTCTGTTGTCCTGCTTTGCTGTAACCCGGGACAGGTCAAGACTGCCCTCTCTTCTCTATAGTGAGTCTCGCAGTTTGTCTGCCTAGGCGTGCTCCCAGCCTGCCTGTGGGTCTCCTTTCTGTGACGGGATTAGCATAGACATTCTTGCAAAGCGATCACTTTCAATAAATCGGGAAGTTGCTGCTCCAAGCAGGTGCCTCCTGTGTGTTTCAGACCACACCCTCTCCCCTGGCCTCACCTTGGGGAGAGGTGACCACAGGGTGACCCCCAGCCCCGTGACTTGTTACTGGCCTCCCACCAGCCCTGCCCAACACAGGGATCAAATCCCATTCCTTACCCCTAAGAGGCAGACTCAGCTTCTGGAAAAACCCCAAATGTTTAATTCTTCTCACCTGGTACGGCCCAGACGTGAGACACCTGAGCTTCACGAATATGGTAAAACATCAGCCCCAGGGCCCTCGAGCCATCACATTAAATGTGCGGGTGGGAGAGTTCCCTCCCTGACACCCCTCAAAGTGCATCTCAGACTGGCCCCTGCAGCTGGGCCCATCGACGTCCTTGACAGATTTGTGGGGAATGGAGGGGGGCAGTACCCCTGGGGCCAAGGGGGCAGCGGTATGGTTTGGCTTTAGTGCAAAAAAGCTGGTTTCTTCAGAGGCACTTTGAGTGGCAGGACCCCGGCCACACCCCTGGGAGTCCAGGACCAACAACTCCCCAGTCCCTCCCAAAGGAGAAAGTAAGACCCTAGAGCCAGAACAGGGCTAGACCTGGGGGCACCCCTAGAGTTGTCCAGCCTTGGGCTGAGGTGGGGTGGGAGCTGGGCAGCAGCACCAGTGGGTGGGGCTCAGTCTAGGAACCGCTGGCAGGCTTTCTTCCAGCGGCAGGCTGTGCACCACAGGTCCCGGTGGTCCATGCCATACACCTTCCGGCACTTCTTGGCATCGCCACGGGGCTTCCTGGGGGGACACACAAGGGGCACAGGGTGTTGGTGGCCAGGACCTTTCCCACTGGTACCTACCTACCCAGACCCTCCACCCGCACACACCTTAGGTTGGCACCAAGCTTGGAGGGCAGGGCTGGCGCACAGGCCCGGGCCTCAGCGGCCCGCAGCTCCAGGTGGATGGGTGCCACGAAGTCCTGGGGGGAACTGCAGCCTGGACCTTGCTCGTCTCCACAGCGCCCTGAGACCTGCTCCCAGCTACCACCTGTGGCCTCACCCACCTGGTAGGCATGGTCACTGTGGCACACCTGTGGGGGAGCTACAGGGCTGAGCATGGGAGGCGGGGTCAGGGCCAGGGCCAGAGGCTGCAGCAGGCTGGGAAGGGCTGGGGGCTTGAGCAGCTCTGGCAGCTCCAGATGGGGGAAGGCCGGAGGCATCGAGGCTGTGGGGGACACAGGAGTCAGGCTGGACAGCCCGTCAGTCAGCGTGTCCACACCAACGTCCAGCTCTGTGTAGTAGAAGTCCTCCTCGCCATCGCTCTGCTCTGGCTCCGCCTGTCTGCTGCTAGGGACACAGTGAGTGAAGATGAAGCACCAGCTTGGCCTGCTCCCCCTCCCCCAGCCCCAGCCCCCAGCCCCACCGCACCCCAGGTGCACCAGGCGGATGTGTCTCTGCATCCCGGATGCCGTGCTCAGCACCTTCCCGCAGCTCTTCCACAGGCACTGGAACATGACCTGGACCGAGCTCTGCGGGGACAGGGGCCGGAGTCAGCAGCAGCTACCCTCCCCCCACCTCACCCTCAGGGTTCCATCAGGCTCACCTTCCTCTTCCTCAGGGTGGGCTCCCCAAACAGAAAGTGGGCTGTCTCAGGGGGCAGTGGAGGCGATGGGGTGGATGGAGAGGACTGGTCACTGGCCAGGTCCCAGCCCCAGTCTCCACTGTTACTGCTGCTGCTGTAGCTGCCTGGTGGCCGTGCCAGACCCTCCTTCCAGGCCTCCAGGCTGGGCTCTGCAGGAACATGCCACCCTCAGGACCTCACCTTGCTCTGCTGCCTGCTGTCCTCTGTCACGCCTAACTCTGAGCTCCCACCTGTTCTGTGGGCTTGGTGGGCAGAAAGCCTTTTGGAGAGAAGGGCCCGGCTAAGGAGAAACTGGCCATGGGGAGCTGGGGAGAAGCCAGCCGACACAGGAAGGGGCGGGAGGTGCTTGGCACAGCCAGGAAGCAGTGTGGCTGGAAGCAGTGTCCCTTGAAGGGGAGGTGGACAGTTCAAGAAGGCCTGGGGAGCTGCAGGGGAGGCCCTGAGTGGCTGGACACTCACTACACAGAGAGGTCTCAACAGGCACGCTTGGAAGGTGGCATGGCAGCTTTGGGGCTCTATTTGCCTGGCAGAGCTGCTGGGTGGCTGCTGGGCCCCGGGGGACAGCAGCCCTGGGCCCTGCCCCTACCTGAGCACAGACTTCAGAGTCTCACCTGGGCTGAAGGCTGCAGCTGGGGCCTCCAGACAGAGGGGGCTGGTGGACAGGCTGGTAAGGGCTGCGGCAGCCATGACCTCGTCCAGCCGGGCTTTTCCTGAGGGGGCTCTGGAGGAGACGGGGGGGGGGCAGGGTGGGGTGGGGCCCAACAAGTGCTCTAGGCCCCTCCCTTGGCCCAGTGTACTTGTGCAGGCCTGGGCAGCGGGCAAGCACCAAGCTGCCTCACTCCTGGCTGGGCAGGAGGCCTGGCTCCACCCCCAGCTCGGGTTACAGAGCCGAAAATCGCCAGGAACAGGGCCCAGTCTGCCGGAGGCCTGCATTCTCTATAGATTGGGCTTTGTTCCACCGTGGCTCCTTCGGACCCTGGTGCTGGGCAGAGGTCTGAGGCTTCACTGGTGGGGCCGGGCGAGCCCCCCGCCCCCCACATCGCATACTGTATTAACCAAGATTGTGCAACAGCAACTGGGGGCCTAACGCCAGGCCTAAGAGGGCGGGAGCGGCCAGCAGTCGCCGCAGCCAGAGAAGGACCTGGCTCCAAACACAGACGGGTCCTCAGGCTTCAGTGGGCCAGGACCGAGTCCGCCCCCGCTGTGAGCCAGCCAGAAGTGTCCGGCACCGCAGGGTGGTAAAGTGGCAGCAGGAGCTCCCAGGATTCCTGGACAGTCAGCCCAGGCGGACTGTGAAGTCTTTTCTGCAGAGAAACTGACAGCGACCCCGCTACAGTTCTGTGCTGCTCCTAAACACCCTGATCATTTCTGCTCAACTCCATTAGGGCTGGAGCAACCAGAGACGGAAACCTCGTTCCGGACCCTGACCTGCCCTGGGAAGGGTTGGGAAGGCAGAAATCTGCGCCCCACCCACCGCCCTTGCACACGCCGATGCACGTGTGCACACACCCACGCACGTGTGCACACACCCCTCTAGTCCCGGGCCACCAAGCACCCTGGCTCACCTCTGCGCTGGCACGGGGATTTGCGCCGAAGGCGTCCGCCGCCCCGCCGCCGCCCCCGCCCAAGTCCCTGGAGTCCCTAGGTTCGCGGCCTGCGGCTCCTGCGGCAGAGCGAACTCCAAGCCCGCAAAGCCGCTGCCCACGGACGGGCCCTGCGGATGCGGGAGACTCAGTGGAGAGCGCGGCGCGGGCCCCCGGCTCCCACCCTGGTTCCGCCCGAGCCCGCCCCCCACAACCCGGCGGCTCTGGCGGACGCGAGGCCCCGCC